CGGTAGGGAAAAGCAGTGGGTGGGCAGGGCGTTGCAGGGGGGCCCTGAATCAGGCCATTCGCTGCCCAGGAGGTACCCAGACTGGCTGGTGCAAGGAAACCTGGGAAACTCAGGTGGGATGGGTGGCCGCAGGACCTAACATGGAGGGTCCTTGTGAATCCCAAATGAGCGGTGCCCAGGGCCTTGGCCCTTCTGAGAGGGGTCCCCTCGCCCTTCTCTCTCCAGGGATGGAGACTGGTGGACGGTGCTGTCGGACATCTCAGGCAGAGAGTACATCTTCCCCAGCATCCACGTGGCCAAAATCTCCCATGGGTGAGTTCACACCCCAGGCCCTGCCTCCGGGGAGCTTCCTGCTTTCTCCTCCCACAAGTGTAGTTCGTTACGCCCAGTCTTATGCTGAGCAAAGCTGGGGTCGGGGGAAATCAGGCCCAGACCCTGCCCTCCAGAGGAGCTGACGACTGACTCTCTCAGGTCAGCCTGTGAGACTTGGGAGCCCAGAGGAGAGGGCTCGGCAAGGCCTCATGGAGATGTGGCACCTGGGCTTTGGAGGGTGGCCGGGAATCTGGTGGTGGAGAATGCTGGAAGGGACTTGCAGGAGGTGGGGGCAGCCTGCATAAATGTCCCCAGAGAGCCTCCTTGGGCTGCGCTTCCAGGAGGCACTTCCTCAGGAGGGCTGGACTCGGGGACGCAGGGTCTCTCAAAAAGTGTGAGCCATCCCTTGCCCAGAGTAAGTGACAGACTGACTCCAGAGCAAATTCTATGTCAAGAGAGAAGGGCAGTGAATAACCTGGAGCCAGGGACATGTCACTGTGTGTGCTATGACAGCCACAGTTCTGAGGAAAAGCACGGCTCCCACACTGGATGGCCTTCCTTTCTGAAGCTCGTGGTATGTCTGGCTCTGAGGAAAGCAACATAGGATCCCGAGACATGTGGACACATCATAGAATCAGCTCGCGTCTCCCAGTGGCCTGGGCCTGCGGGGCAGGGTTTTGCCTCCACAGCCTGGCGTGAAGTTTAAACAGAGGAAACACCGACTACCTCTAAGAGTCCCCTTTCCTTGCCTGTGCTTCATTTATAGCCTGGATTTTCATAAGTCGTATGAATGATGTATTTTATTTACTATAAAACTAGGCTCAGTTTGCTGCTGGCCCCAAGAGAATCACAGCTTCTCTACTTTATTTACTTGGAATCTACTCAACCCTGACTCTGGCATTTCACAGAATGACAGGGAGGCAACCATTTCTATCAAATTGGCTTCTGGAGGCTTTGCCTGGGACCCCCGGACATGACTCTGGGGACAGTAAGAAGCTGATGGACTGTAAACCAAAACATTCCTGCACGACTCCTTGAACTTTTCACTGCAGTGAAGTCCTTCATGGACACACGTAGGTGAGGGATTAAGTGAAGAGAGAAAAGGAAGGTGTGGGCTCAGAGTTATCAACAATCCCAGCATTGGAAGAGGCACGTATGGCTATTGATGGGCTACGTGATTTTTTCCAAAATTTTAGAATGTCTTGAACATTCTAGATCCAAACTTTCTTCCCACAAATAAGCTACAGTGGAAGTTAGATTTCAGTGATAATGAGTGAATGTTCACCTGCATACCTTTTGGCTATAAAGTTAAACTTTAAACTGTTGAAATAAAATATTTACTAAAATTAAAAAAAAAGAGAGAGGCAATTCTTGGAGAGGTGAAGGCTTAGACAGGTGAGTGGATGGTGTAGGGGTGCTGGGGGAACTGGGCAGTGAGAGGAGAGGGTCTGGGATCACCTCACCTGCCCCCAGACCCTGGCCACTTGGGAATGAGCTCTTCAGTTAGAAAAGGCTGGGGCTGACCCCATGAGATGGTCCTGGCTCCAGGGGCCTCAGAGGACAAGGACAAAGCTGGGGGCCCTGAGAGACCTGAGGCCAGCTCTTCATGGGACGTTTGGAAGTCTGAGGCCCACAGAGGGAAGAGAGGTTCCAGTAGAGTCTTGGGCCACCCACCCCCAGGCTGACCCCCGACCCTCTCTCTGCTCATCTCCCCACCCCCAGGTGGTTATATGAGGGCCTGAGCCGGGAGAAAGCTGAGGAACTTCTGCTGCTGCCTGGAAACCCAGGAGGGGCCTTCCTCATCCGGGAGAGCCAGACTAGGAGAGGTGGGTAAGCTCAGCCTGCTGTGGGCTTTTCCCTTTCATGCCAAGAGCCAGGTGTGATGTGACTTGGGGGTAGAGGTAGGAGGCCACATGTGGAGGGCTGGAGACCTGGCCTTGGAGTCGGGCAGTCTGGCTGACTGACCACATGTTGCTGCCGTGAGAGCCTATCAACAATGGGGCAGGGCTTCCCTGGTGGCGCAGTGGTTGAGAGTCTGCCTGCCATGCAGGGGACACGGGTTCGTGCCCCGGTCCGGGAAGATCCCACATGCCGTGGAGCGGCTGGGCCCGTGAGCCATGGCCGCTGAGCCTGTGCGTCCGGAGCCTGTGCTCCGCAACGGGAGAGGCCACAGCAGTGAGAGGCCCGCGTATTGCAAAACAAAAAACAAAAAACAATGGGGCAATAACCTGCATTTCTAAAAGTGGTGTGAATTGCCCACGGGAGGGATCCAGCTCAGCCAACACTTTAGCAGCCAGGACTCGTAACAGAATATAGTCACAGGATTTCTCTGCCTTGACCAGCAATGATTTCTCCCTCCCCAAGACACAACATGACCCTGATCTCTTGACAAGGTCTCTGTGCTTTGGGTCATCAGCCAGTCGGAGCCAGAAACCCCCCCAGGAGTCACCTCATGATCTTCCTCTCTGTGCTGTGCAGATGGGGAAACAGAGGCCCACAGAGGGATTGGGACATGTCACACTGCACGTTCATATGGGACTTCTCCCACCCCAGGTGCAAACAAAACACGAAGTTGAGTCTGTCTCTGATGCCCCTGCTTCTCTCTGAGCTGCCCTGAGTCCCTTACAGCAGGGACGGAGAGGGACGTTGAAGGAGCGGCAGTACCCTCGTTTATGTTAGGCTCTTTAAATGTCTTCACACAACCCTGTGGGGATTATACTTCCAATGTCCCCATTTTACAGATGAGGAACTGGAGATTTGGGGGAAGAGAAATGATTTGCCTGGGGAGACACAGCTAATAAGTGCAGAGCTGGGATTCAAACCCCGCTGAGGTTCATCGCACTTCAGACACCCAAGAGAGGCCCACCTGTGACAGTAACGGTAGCATTACAAGCACAGGGGCAGACTAGGGAGAAGCTATTCAGGAGTGAGGACGGGCTGCCTGTGCTTCCCTTAACTGAACTCACTTTGGTGCATCGTCAGGGTCCTTTGCTCTCAGTCTCCCTCCTGGGGCCCCTTCCAGTGCATGTCTTTGCCTCTCCTTCCCTTCCTTTGGGAGCCCCCTGGGTTGACCTCTCCCCAGCCCCTCCTACTATTTTCCAGGCAGCGCCAGCATCCCTCACATACACCCATAGGCAGGCCAGGGTGTGGGGCTGGCTCAAGTGCAACAGCTACAAACAGGAAACCATAGCGGTGCTGTTGGGGGCGGGGGCACTGTAGACCGAGCCCCGGTGAGCGTGAGAAGCCACAGGAAGTGCTCCGTGCTCAGCTGCCCCTCCCACACCCCTTCTCTGGCCTGGTTCAACCCCAAGAGCATAGTGACCGAAACTTATTGCCTCTCTGAGCCCCTTTTCTAAGAAGGCACATATACAAGAGGAACTGGTGGAGAAATAAAGGAGAAAGCAGATAAGAATCCATAGGATCTTTTTTTTTTCCTTGCAGTTTTATTGAGACATAGTTGATACACAGCACTGCATAAGTTTAAGGTGTAAAGAATCCATAGGATCTTTAAGGATCCACAAAATTGCTGGGATTAAGGTTAGATTTGACTCTGAGGTTCCCCATAGCAACACCAAAAAGGGATAGATCAGAATGCAGCTCTCATTATCGAAAAAGGAAGAATTTGCCAATTCTGCAGGAAAGGCAGTTTCCCAGTACTAATTTCTAATCTCTCATCCTGGGCTTCCTTTTGGAGAGTGTTTGTTAAGCTGCAGGTTACAACCCATCTGTGGGCCAAGAAATCAGTTTGGTTCAGTGGTTATAGACCAGTGGGTCTCAGACCTGGGCGGGCATCAGAACACCTGGAGGGTTTGTTAAAACAAAGAACTGGCCCGGCTTTAAGAACCACTGATCTAGACCTTGGCTGTGTGTTGGAATCATCTGGGGGAGATTTATAAATTACTGATGGCTGCACCCCACCCCCCGAGTTTCTGATTTAATTGGTCAGGGGTGTGGCCTGGGCCCTGGAAGCTACAAGAGGCCCCCAGGTGATTCTGATGTGCACCAAGGTTGAAACCCATTGGTTTAGTGGATCTAGGCCAGGGAGCGTTGAAAGTGAAATATAGCTGAAAACGTTAGGATGCATCACTGGGGCTGGGGAGATACTCTGCTTCACAAAACGTTTTGTTTTCGATAATTTTAAGTGTGTTCTGGGTCACTGTAAAATTTCATACGTGGTTTGTGGTCAAAAAGAGTTTGACACTAAATCTGTACGGGCCCGAGTGCCACCACAGGATGGTGGTTCTCAGACTTGAGTGTACAGGAGTTGTCAGGGGATCGTCTTGCTGATGTGCTCTTAGGCCCTGCCGCAGACCTGCCAAATCAGACTGTTGGGTACAGAGGTCAGAATTCTGCTTCCTTCACAAGCTCTCTGGATGGTTCTCATGTTCTTTTAAGTTTGAAAACACAGTTCCAATCTGGGGAACCCAAAATTAAGTAATGAGAGACAATGTTTTTCATGTTTACATAATGCATCTTGTCATATATAACGATAATTAACTGTTGACCAAGTGGGTGAGTGATATCAGGATCAGCTCTTCTTTGGCCCAAGATCCAGAGTACCTCTGGGAAGGGAATTCTGTAGGGGCTTTGAGCCTGTGGGTGGACCAAGGCAGAAGGCCTGGGGCCACTGAGCTCCCAAGAACACTACTCACGAGTCCGGAGGGCGAGGGGAAGACGCCCCATCTTCCTCAGAGTCCCTCTGGCATACCTGGTTGTGTTCTAGGCCTGGGGGGAGCCATGGCAGGGCCCAAGTCAGGCCAAAAACCTTGGTGTGAGAAGGGGCACAAAGAGTTTGTGGAGGTCCCAGGACTGCTCCAGAGGTCAGCGCCAGGGCCAGACCCCAAGAGCGTCACCCTCTTGCCTTCCTACTGTCCTACTATGTGTCTATACTGTGTTGAGCATTACAAGAGAGACTGATGAGCAAGACACACTTCCTGCCCCTGAGGGACTCACCTCTGTGATTCTGTCAGCTGAGAAGCACTTAAAAGCATCTCCTCTGAGTCAGGGCTGATAAGTTGTGATTCCTGCCCTCAGGCTTCAGACAGTCAAGGGTCCAAGGTGCAGCATCCTCGAGGCTATCAGCTTCTTAGAGGTCTCAGAAAAAGTTCAGAGGGTCCTGCTAGACCTACGTCCCCCAAACAGGTTTTAATGTGCTCCCTCACACCACTGTGGACCCCTCCCCTCCTCCTGGCATCATCATCAAAACACCTGGGAGAACATGGCTCCTGAGCCCATAGGTCACTGCAGGCCAGGGTATGACACTGGCTACGCCTGCTGGAGCTTTCTGGAATCTGGGACCTCATACTTTCCTTGCCTTTTTCCCAATGGGTCTCCCTCCAGGCCCTGCACCCAGCCATAGCTCCTACCATTCCTTCCCACAGCCTGCCTTCCGGCCCACTGCCCACCAGAACACTCCATGAATGAACACACCTTGTTCTTTCCACTGCTCCATCCTTGCACACGAGCCGCCCTCAGGGCCTGGAAAGCCCCCTCCTCCAGTCCTCCACTTGGCCAACTCACACTGATCCTTCTCGACCCATTGCAATGCCATTTCCCCAGGTTATTTGTCACTCTTTGCTCTCAACTCCCACAGCATCCTGAAAAGACCTCTTCTGTAGCTGCAATAAACTTATTTCTTAAAACAAAGTCAGGGTATGTGGTCTAACAGCAGAGGAACTAAATACTTGAGATGAGGACCATAAAGGAAAATTCTGGCTGAGGGATGTGCTGAGGGACAGTATTTCCTTCCCCAGAGTATGAAGATCTGATTACCTGTGTCTCAGGCTAGTGCAGTGCCAGCTTGTAGTAAGTGTTCAACAGATGTTTACTGTATAAATGGATGAGTGAATGAGTGCATGTATGTACGTTGAGGGGAGGAGAGAGGATGAAGAGCTGGGGTAGGGTAGACTGACCCCCAACACCATCTGTGCTCACAGCGGTAGGAGTGCAAATGGTGGCAAGGACTCCTCAAGTCTGCTTGTATCATGGCCGTGCCCAGTGTTTATCACAGAGACTCAGTAATTCATTCAGCAAATAAATATTGCATGGTGACTCTGTGCCAGCCACTGTTCTAAGTGCTGGGGATTCAACAATATAAAAAGCACCAATAAAGAGGTTAAAAAAAAAAGCAAAGTCCCTGCCCACAATCTAGTTGGCAATGTGCATAGTGAACAAACAGTAATTGAGCAACTGATCATGGCAAGTGCCACAAAGAAACAATAAAGCGACAGTTAAGAGGAACAGAGTAAACAGGTGCATCCTCAGCAGGAGGCAGGTGTGCCTGGAGCAGATCCAAGGTCACCGGAAGTCAGGTCATGCAAGGCCTTTCCCGGGTGAGAGTTTCAGATTTATTTTAAATGTTGACAGGGAGGGTTCTAAGCAGGGGAGTGACATGATCTGATCCCTCTGCGTTGCAAAGAGAGGATTTGGCAGGGGATGAGGCGGAAGTGGGGAGCCACATGGGAAGTTGTTGCAGGCTAATGAGAAGTGGTTAGATTCCGGATATGTTCTGAATGTAGCCAGTAGGGTTTTCTGTGGGGCTGGATGGGAGGTGAGGGAGAATGGAAGCTGCCAGGGATGATGCCGGGGTTAGGAGCTTAGTAATGAATGGATTGTGCTGCTGTTTTCTGAGATGGGAAGATGGTGGGCAGATAAATTAGGACGATCCCTTGTGAGGCTCACAGTTGGTTATATGGTGGGGTGTGGTAGTGTTGAGGGACAGACGATGGGAGAATAGGACCTTTGGTGCTAGCACTTGTGTCTGGGCAAGCCTAGAGCTGGGGTTTCTACCAGGCAGAGAAGGTGTTCTGGAGAGGAGTTGCCTGAG